CAGTTGGTGCACAGTCGCGCTTTGAACATCAGTTTTTTCGACGTGAACTCGTCGGAATCGGCTAAACTCGGTCGCAGTGGCTCGGGCTTAAAGCTGTCGGTGCTGGGTCACGATGTGGAGCAGTTTTCCGCCGTGAACTCGCCGAAAATCAGGCCGACGCGAGGCTGCTCGCTGGTGGTCACGAGCTCAATGTGGACCGGTGCGGAGGTGCCAAAAAGACTCGCGAACAGAGCTGGGTGGGCTTAAGTTGGTCACAGACGCCGGGAGGAGATAGAAACAACGGCTCGATTGCGGACGAACGGTTTGCCAGCGTCGGTGAGCTCGGCTACGGACCTATGGTGAGCGAACGGGTTCGAGTTGCTGCGAAACGGGACCATGTGAGGCTGGATGGCGCGAGTTCGAGTTGTCCGTGGCTGGTGAGCTCGCAGGCGACTATGGGTTCGCCGGAGCTCAGTGGAGGTCGTCGATTTTTGGTGTATATGGAGGTGGAGATGAAAAAGATGAATGATATATTGGGAAAAGAAGATGGGGATGATGTATTTATATAAATATATTAGGAAACTAGGGTTTGGTGTGTATTGGGCCAAAAATTAGGTTTTGCAATTAATAAAATCGGGTTAGAGAAATTAATTTAACTTGGGTCGGTTAATTCAAAAATTGACTACGAAATTAAATGTTCGGTTAATAAAATTAACTGGACTTAGATTAATTAAATTAGTCGGTCGAATTTTCTAAAATGGTTGTGCTCGAATTTAAAATTCGACTATATGCTCGATTTTTTAAATGGACTAAAATAAAATCGAACTTGGGCTTGATTAACTTAAATGGGCCGGAATAAAATCGAATATAGGCTTGGTTAACTTGAATAGGCTGACTAAAATGATTGGACTCGCTCGAAAATGATTAGGCTCGAATAATTAAATTATTCGGCTTCGATTTGCTTAAATAAAATTTTGATTAACCCAAGGCTCGGTTTTAAAAATATAACAGATACTTGGGCTAAAGAAATCCGACTTTAATAATTAAAATCGAATAAATTCGACATGACTTAGAATTTTATACTAATTACTCAATTTAATGCAAATAAATAAATGCATCAATTTAGGAAACTGACTATTTATGGAAATAAAGTCGAGCTCCATAAATAGTAACTAATATTCTGGGCGTTACAGTAACCGTGTGGCCGACAAGTTTAGTCCCAAAAAATAGCCGGATATTCAGGTCCAATAGTTGATCATTTCCCAGGTTTTCTAGTTTACGAGGTACTTCAGATGATAAGCAAGATGCGCCAATTGATAGTTAAATTTGCAACGATTTCATGACATGCCATTGGACATCGATTTGCGGTGGGATAGTGAGTGGAAATGATTAAGAGAGAGGATGATGTGTGCGTCACTGAATCAAGGTATGGACATCATACTCTTAAGGCATTTAATCAATATGCATATGAAATTTTTATCAGGAATTACTTCAAATTGTTATAGGTCGATATAAATTGAAAAATTTTCTCTAAAAATTTGGCAAAGAAAAAAATCAGATCTGACTAGCGCCCCCCTCTTCTCAGACGCCTTTGGTTTGCGGCTTTTCGACTCTTCGATCATGGGCTAGGTCGTTACCGATAAATTATATTTTTGCTCTGCCAATGAATGTGGATTGGTCGAAGACGACGGTTCCTCCGGCGTGGCTCGTCAGGTTTGCTCCCCATGTGTCTGTTTCTCTCTCAATGAAGGATGTGGGAGCTAAGATCTGGGTTGTGACTCGTATATTCGTCAGGTCTAACTAGACGCTTGAGTAAGTTCTCAGTTTTTGATTTTGAGACCTTTGATTTGCTATTTTCCTTGTTTCTCGGTTGTGAGGTTGGATCATTGTGGAGTTTGGCTTATGTAATGGTTCGGGTGGTCGTAGAGATGTGCTCGTGAGTTGTAAGAGAGGTTGTATTCTATTGTTAGTGTAGGTATGTGTTGTTTGTGCTTTTCTTCAATTTTCTTAGTTTTCAATCCAAATGCGTCTGATTATTAGTCTCATTTACGGAGTAATTTTTTATGCAGTTTTTTTTTTTTTTTTTCGTGTTCATGTATCCTTGGTTGTCTGTGCAATTTCAATGAGGGTTGACCTAAATTTCGTTCTGATTGTTGTGTTATCATTTGACATATCGGGTGTAATATTTTGAAGTTATTAGTACTAGTACAACACTTGTGTACTACATGAGTATTAAATTAAAAAATAAATACATCAAAATGTTTAAAACATAAACATAAAATTTTATTTTAAGTTTTAAAAAAATTTAAAGTTGTATTGTTAGTTTAAAATGATGTTAGAGTGTTAATGCATGAACATAATATTTCACATTAGTTTTTTCAAAGTTTAAGGAATTAATCTTAGTGCCATTATGTTAAATTTTACTTTAAATGTAGTTTAAACATGAAGTACTTGACTCAAATAATCTAGCTAGACACATATATATATAAAAAAAAAAAAAATGAAAGTGTGAAAACAATTTTAATGTATTAGTATAAATTACATGCCACACATTAAATACTATTAAAATATGATTTTTTTTTTGTAGAATAATAATCAATTATATGAACCTCTTAAAAAAACTTGTGAACTATTAACTACTCTTTTATATATATGACACATTATAACTTTTAATTACTTAATTATTATTTTTTAAATGCAAATATATTCCTTTTCATATACTTGATTTTAATTAGAAAAAATAATATATTTATTCAAAAGATCGTCATGAGACGATAAACTAATCATTTTACTCTTGTTGTATGACATGTCATTTAACTTTCATATACTATTTAATTATATGCCACATAAATAAAAGAGACTTGGTATTAAGTTTGTTATATATTGAAATACCATTTATTTGAAAAATCAGAATAATATATAACAAATTTTAAAATCAATAAATTCAATCGCATACTAAATATTCTAATAGAAATACAACACAAACAATTATTGTCTCGAATAAAATTATTCAAACAATTATATTTAACTACATAATATAATATAAACACAAAAACAAAAAGAAGGAAAACAACATAATGAGCTAAAAGGAAAAGCGAAAAAAAAAAGACTAAAATCATATTCAAATATATGATTCATTGATTTAATTTCAAATAGATATAATTTATTTTGGGCTAACATAAGATTAATATATTGCTAGTCTAATATAACATAAATAAATTAAAACTGGACTGGAGTTGCCAATGCCTCTTGGCCTACTAGTTAAGAGTGAGGTACCTATGACATAGGTCAAGGTTCAAGCCTCCCGGAGCGCAATGGTGGAACAATTAATACTGAGGACTCCAAGCGGCAGTGTGGGAGACTGAAACTGGTGGGAACCAGCGGTTGGATAGGTGGGGCCAGCATGAAGCAATCACTTTGGTGTGACCTTGCGGCTGGATAGGTGGGGCCAACGAGCAATCACTTGGGAATCGACTCCTTGTGCGCGGTAGTTGAGGGTATTAGGTACCTGGGAGCCATTGCGTGGCTACTGTGATTTAACTAGAGGCAGTTTTTGAGGGGCCGGAGCTGTTTACTCGAAGACCTAGTCAAACGCAAGTCTGGAACCTCGGTATCAAAAAAAAAAAANNNAAAAAAAAAAGGGTTGAAGCCCACCACTGTCTTTGTGGTGGCTCCTTGATATAGATTAGTACAGAGTTCGTGCGATGCACTAGATGCACAATTTTAAGGTCATTTATCCAGCCTTATAATTATATAAATGAATAAAGAAAAATATACGGGATATACATAGTACGTGACCTGTGCGAGGTGATAAATTTGGGGATTATTATACTATAAGATGCAATATTCAATAAAATATTTTACAATACATGAAAATAAATATAAATAATGTAAATATCTAAATACATACACGATATGTAAAATAAATAAGCCAAATTGCAAATCTAAAAATATAATTAAAAAAATCGAAAATATATTTCACTAAACATGTACAAAAATATCTAAATACATACACGAAAAAAAATTAAAATATAAGTTTCAAATTTTGAAATTAAAACAATATTCAAATAATTCATTTTGAGATTTCTAATTTATAATAGATAGAGTAGATATATATTGTTGTTAATGTTTTTGTTAGAAAATCTGAATCCGAATACAGAAATCGGTTTGAACAAAATCAAAAAAGATTTCCATACAATTAGATCATAAATTAAATAATAAATAAAGCATTTTTTATTTTAGTAAAGATTTTACGTACTTTTTTTACTTATCAGATGTTATGGGATTTTTTTTGTTAAAGCGATTTTTTGGGATATAATACAAATACAATTAGATGATTGAACCAGAACATATTTCCATACAATTAGATAATAAGAAGGAATTGGATAAGGAAAAGAAGAAATTAGATAAGTAATTTTGAATATGCCATTTTTAGTATATATAGGCTAAACGTACAAAGTTTGACTTCACCGATTTTATTACATTTGTTTTGACAAAATCGATGTTAATATAGAATAAGACAAATAAATAAAGTCGTTTTTTATTTTAGTAAAGATTTTATGAGTTTTTTTTCTTAAACTAATTTTATGGGATATAAAACAAATAAATAAAATAATTAAATAAAATTTTGGATAGAAATAGCAATGCATTAATTACATTGACTTTTCAACCTACTAAATTTGGTAAATCGAATACATTATTAGATAAGTATAGATTAAAATAAAATTATTTCAACTAATTTACTAGAAAGGTTATTTTTCGAAAAAAAAAAAAATTAAGTTGTACTTGTCAGTTAATCGTAATTGTATCCAGGTGTCGTCGAAACGGGTTTACCTTTGCATTCGGTATCATCCTCAACACCTCAACGGCTCAACCCGATTCTATCCGTCATTTTCCTCTCAATTCAAGAAACCTACGCCTCGTACACGTGACAGTTGATCAACAATGGTTTTTCCTCCCAATTCTAAATTTGCAGCAGTTATCGATTACACCACTTCGGAATAAACGTGCTCACTACCACAATGTTTTTCAACGGCGCTGTTCAGCGGAGGCTGGCGGCTCTTCTCCAGCCATGGCTGATGGGCGACCAAGAGCTGGAGCTCAAGCTCGGGCTCCTCCGCTCGAATGGGTTCCTGAGCAACGTCAGGTTCAACGCCGCCGTGCTTAACGGGTTGCTGGACGACCCGTCCAGAATTTGCTTTAAAGGGGCAACCGTCGAGCACGTCAGCCTGGAATTCTCCCCCTTTTCTCCCGTCGCATTCACTCTCGTAGTTCGTGGTGTCAGCATTATTCTTTCAATAGGGTAGGTTCTGATGTGTTGCTGTCATGTTTGCTGATGTTGTTCATTTTCTAATTTGTATATATATTTTTTTTATTGCATTTGTGTTTGCTAAAAGAGAAGAGGAGGATGAGGGGGGAGGTAAGTGGAGGAGGAAGCCGAGGGATACAACCATAGAGGAAAGAAATAAGGCTCTAGAAGAAATTGATCCTGAGGTACTTCAAACTATACAGTAATTAATGTGGCATTTAGAAATGTGATTGGGTTATTGATTTGTACCGTATGCTATAACTTGGTTTTTGTTCAGTTTATGCTTCTTGTATATAGTTGGAATGTGTGAGCTTCGTAACATTTTAGGACTTAAGAGGTTTGCAGTTTGGTGCTTTTGTGCTAATTTGTGGTTGCCATTTGGTTTGGCTACTTTTGAAGGTTGGATCAAATATGCTTGACGAAAAACTTCCCTGCTTTAGGTAGCTAATTGAATACTACAAATGTTTCTATCGATCAGTGTTCCTTATTTTACATCTTTGGAGTTGAGATTGTCATAGAGATCTTTTCCTCTTATCTGCGTGAAAGTTTCAGAGTTTGCGAAGTAAAGCAGAGTTGCTATTGCATTACTTACACCAATTGCACATAGGTATGAGCTAGGAACACACGAGGGAAGGACGGATTTAATACATTTTTATATTATATTGTGCATCTTGATTTTATATTTGGCGGAAGGGAGATTTAGCCTAAGAAGAGTAGAGTGAAGACTTGAAGATGGGGTAGCAGAAATTTTTGTATGAGCTGTAGGAAGTGTTGTGGAAAATATATAAATTTATGTAAATGCTTCTTGGCAAATCTATCATCTTGGATGTATTTTTTCTCCAAATCTTGCTTGACCAGTGGCAATAATATCATGTTGCATTTATAACTATAACATTCCGTCGTCTGTTATTTTAGGCTAATCGTTAGTGTGGTTCTCCCGAATGTCACTACAACATGGTGGAATATTCAACTTTATTTTCAATTGATGAATGTGCTAGCCTAGCGCAGAACTCTTCCTTCAAAGCTAGCTAATGGGGAGAGGGTACCAACCCACATTTATCCACTTAAAAACCGGGTAAATGAGCCATGTGGGACAAACTTAACTTCTAAGTTCTAAGACCCACCCTCACGTGTAGCATGCCAGTTTCCAGGAGTCTAAACCCAACAATCCCTCTAAAAGAACATACATGTTTGCTCTAATATCATGTTTAATGGGCCAAGGTAGAACTCGTCCCCAAAAGGTAGCTCAAAAGGAGAGGGTGCCCAACCACTTAGCGTTGTAGTCAATTGGGAGTCATAAATGCTAGCATATATTAACTAATATAAGAAAGGTAAATAGCAGATATTTCATTTTTCCTAGGTGCCATGACAATTATACTGCCTTCCTTTGTTCATTTTTTCTTCCTCTCTCTCTCTCTCTCTATATATATATATATATATATACATATATATATATATTATATATATATGTATGTATGTATGTATGTATTCCTTGAGAATTTATTTCGATCCTCAAATCAAAATTATGAGTTTGTATATGGTTTCAGGGTTGTGCTTTGCATGATTCTATTAAAAAGATTTCAGAGATTACTACCCGAAGATGGAGAGAGTCGTTATTGGATACTGTTTTTAGACATTGTCACTTGGATTTGCAAGATGTACATGTGCTTCTGCAGTCTCCTTGTTTGCATGATTCATTGTCATGTTCATTGTACACGGAAAAGCTTAGGTTTGCATCCAGAATTATACGTCCGAGGTGCTTTATTCGTGGGCTCATAAGTTCACTTTTGGTGCCCATAGAAGAGAGTATGTTTGATGTTGATATTAACAGTTTTGAGATTAGATTTAACAGTGAAAGTCGAACAAGTTCTGTATTACCTGCCACCAATATGTCCGCTATAGTAAATTCGAATCATCTTCAGTGCACGGGCCTCTGTTTTCATGTTCCAGCATTAAATATTTTATTCTCTCCATTTGATCTCTCTGTCATATTATTACTTTATGGACTTTTGTCGAAAGAGAGGAAATGTCCTAGAACTGGAAGGCAACTGTGGAACATAGTAGCAAGCAGAATAAATTCTCTGCTTCCAAGTTCCAGCTTGTCGTTGGTTAAAGTAGTTAAGATTGTGAGTCTCTGGTTGCATTACGTACAAACCTACCAGAGTATACTTCTACGAGTGGGATATCCTGCAAGTGAAAGAATGCAAAGATCGGCTACCTTAATGTTTCAGGATGCAGCATATTCTAGATCTGTCAAGTCTCAGTGGCATTTAATTGCTGAAATCGAGGATTCTCTGCCTATGGAAGCAGTTGCAGTGGCTCGGAGAATAATCCGACACAGAGGGTCATTAGGAATTACTGTTGAAAATCACAATTCTGGTGAAGTGCCTGCTACTTGGCCTCTCGCGAAGCTGTTTCAACTACGTGTCCTCATTTTGAGCATGATAAGCAGTTTGTTAGTTTCAGTTGTGAAGTTTTTTTTTTTGCATAAGCTGGCTTTTTTTCCGGAGAGTAGCTCCCACTCTGGCTCTGTTCATGAAATTTCCATTCTACAACAAAGCATCACTCTGAAAATTCAAGAAATTTCAGTGTCTGTCTCTCCAGAAACTGATGTACAGCCTTCTAAGAGTGGGAATGCATTTTCAGAAAAAAAGATTCCATTTCAACACACACAAGCATTCAATTTTTATCTGGACGCCTTCTTGTTGAGATATATAGTAGATATTTCTGAGAAGTGTGTTACATTATCATGTGGGCATGTGAAGATTTTTTCTTGTGCTTTGAGAACCGGTGCTAGCAGGCACTCCAGAGAACATTGGAAGCAGGAAGTTGACAATAGGCAGATTATTGTATGGGTTGAGCCAGCTCAAGTTATTAACATTCCTGAATCCACTATTGGTAGTGCTAAGGATGGCAATGTTAGGACATCAGTCCCTCATTTATACCACCTTTTAGGAAAATTATGGTTGAACTGGAAAGATTCTTATTATGAATCTGAAGGGGAAAACACACCAAGCTTGCAGCTTCCTTGGATTCTTATTGACATAAGGAGTTATTTGGTGGATAATGTAATCAGAGATTCTAGTTCGCGGGTTAACTGTGGCTTGGTTGTTGGTAAACTGAATGCCAATCTGGGATATTATTCTTTCGTCTCAATCGCTGCACTCCTAAGACAATTACAGTGTGCTTGTTGGAACTTGGGGAGCAAAAATGTTGTTGGGCACACACCAACTATGATAATTGAGGATCCACCTGTGAGGTATTTTAGTAAATTCGCACAACATATTAGCCAAGTGCAAGCGGGAATTATTAAAATGCTCCCTGAGAAGCGTATACAACTTGGGGCTTTCGTTGCTGGTCCTCACGTACTAATATCTCCGTCAAATGACCAGTTTAACTCTGATCATCTCAATACACAGATCTCATTTGAAATCTGCAATGTTGAACTTCTGGTATCACCAAATCTGAACGATATTGTCAGATTATTTGGTGAAAACTCAGACTGTCTTGGACTAAACAAACCTCAAGAATTTGATATTTCTGAATCAGATTTTGGTGCTTACAGCTGTCAAGGGCAGATTGCAATCAATTCTTACTTAAAGATCAATGGTTTGAAGGCTTACATTGGTGATACCATTGGGAATCACAAACACGAGATTATTTCTTTAGAGTCAAAAACTGCAGTACTCAATTATGTAAGGTAATTCCTATCTTATACATTTGTTCAGCTTCCAATTTATAAATTGTACAAAGCTCAGGAATGCATATGTTATAGTTTATTCTTGGTAAATGGTAGGTGTCTTTGACATAGCTTCGTAAATTCATTGGTTATAATTTACTCTAAAACTCTGACATCATTAGATTCTTCTTATCGGCCATATTAGGTGCTAAATAAAATAGTATCAGTCTTCTACAGACAATATACTTGTTTTCTTTGGGTTCAGCGAGTAAGAAAACTTTGACTTCGCGTTTTACGTCCAAATTTAGCGTCATGTCGCTACCTCCTTTACTGCATGATCAGTTAGTTCTCGCAGTCAAATTTTCCTGCTATCAAGCTTGCTTAATTAAAGCATTGATGAGGTGATGCTTCAGGCCATTTGAGTGATAATGCATAATATGAGGTGGACATATGTTTCATTCTATGAGAATTTCCTTTCTTTTTGGTTTTCAATCTTCATAGTTTGTCTTCTCTTTTTCAGTTTCTTGTAAAGCTCAAAGAGAAAATGAAAGATGTACAAGTCACTTTCAAAACTAGCAAATTTATAAGCCAAAATTTAATGAAATGTTGATATTTGAAGATTTGCTACGATATGCTAGTTTCTCAAAATATGTTTGCCTACGCATATGATCAGCCTCTGTGTGCGCAGCCATCATTAATACACGATGATCTTCTGATTTGGATATTTTTCTTATCTATGGCAGGAAGGATCACCATTCATTTGGTTCATCAGTTGTTACTGTCTCAGCAGCCTTCCGTTTCATGTCTGCTGGTGTTTCCTTTTTGTTTTTTCTGGATGAGTTGTATGTTTTGTCAAAGGTGACTTGTCTCTAACTTCTGGCTGGATAACAGAGTTGATGTTTCCTTATCTGTTATTTATTATTGTATTATTACTCTATGCATTCTGCTGTTGCATGCCTGCATTTTTAATGTATTATTGTGTTTTTGAAGTGCTGCTTATACTCTCTAACTTGTGAGAACTAATAGAAGTAACAAGAGATTATCATCTGAAATGTTAATTAGCATTAGATCTTTAAGAGTGGGCAGCAGTTTTTTTTCTTTGAATTTGGGACTAAAAGGCTATGTTGTTGTTGAGGATATATATATACACATATATATATATATATTTTTTTATTTTTCTTCTTTAACTACTATGTTTTTTCCTGTCCAGATAGTTTTTGAAGTACTTGAGGAATCACGTGCCTTCATAGTGGATGGATCTGTTGGTAATCAACGCTACAAAGAACTATCAAGAAGCGGCATTGAGTATTCTGAATTTGATTGTGGGCCGGCATCCTTTGTTAGAAGCAGACAGTCATCGCTAACAAATTATTTGGTCTATGTCAACAGCGATTTCGAGCTTAACTCGTTTGACATGATTCTTCATCATTCGCGGAAGACTTTTAGTCAGGAGACCTACCGGAGCATAATGTCTAATGAAGGGGAAATTGACAGAAAGTTGGGAATCTACGTGTCTCTACAGCGTGTAGTGATGGAATTTGTCTTTAATGGTTGGGACCTGGATATTATCATTGACCAAACTGGAGCTCGATGTCTCATTTTTAGATATTTGACTGAATATGATGGAACTCTTTGTGAATCTGAGCTGGAAAACCTTTTACGCTCTCTAAGTTACTTGACTGAAGCTTCTGCTTGTTATGGCAAATTATGTTTCAACTTCAGAAACTCTGAGAAAGCCCCACCATTGGGAAGCTTGCACAGACCAGCTAATGAATCAAGTTTTCATGGTGAAACCCTTTACATGCAGGAGGATTCTTCTTTGTTTGTCAGTACTGAAACGTCATCAGATCGTTGGCTATCTGCAAATATTGTTCTTTCCGGAATTTGTATTATTGGACCACAAATGAAAGGTAATTTGGTTGACAAACTCGAAGAATTCAGTGCGTCCTGTTCAGTTGGGGGTGAATTCCAGGCCATCTCATGTGAATGCAAGGTATTTGTGCCTCTGTATAAACAAGATCCTGATCTTTTTATGCTAGAAGTTGGGCTTTTAAGCCAAAACTTTTGCCCTTCCCCCAACCCCAAATCAAATGATCGTAGTGAAGCAAGCTATTATATGCATGCTAAGTATTCAAATTACTCATAGGCTGGTATGTGCTTAACAGGGTGGTTTTGTGTTAGTTGAAGCAGCTGCTGTTACAATGTTTGTTGAAAGTTTCACATCTTACTATCAAAAGATCTCAGATTTTTGGCCTTCTGGTCTATCATCTTGTAAAGATGCAGTTTCGCAATATGTTACTGAAATGGTTCCGCTAGATAACGACCTTAGTGCAAATCCTCAGCAAGTCCAATGTCCAGAAGTTACATGGGATCGTCTTCAAGCATTTTCGATGATTCTTTTTCATCTATCTCTCATACTTATGGAGAGAGATGAATCTGGTAGATTGTCTTCTTTTATCCTTGAAAATGTTAAAGCTTGTGTTGAAATATGAATGATTAAGAGTTAACTTTGATGCAGGAAGACGTCATGAACTTCTATGTGAGGTTAACTTTCATGTCAGTTTCGAGCTCTTAGATACAGTTAGAAAACTTTCAGCCACTATTTCCAAGTTTTCTATGCTTTCCCGCTTCATTCATAAAGCCAAGGTTAGTCAAAGTCCATTTTCTTCTATGGTGCTTGATGATTCAATATTCTGATTTATAAGCCAAGACGCTAAACTCTTTCTTCAGCATGATATTCAACCAGATGTTTCTGACAGTGGGCCCAGCACCTCGGTCTCCCATAGGGGTTCTCATGTTGGTATTTCCATGAGCGATCCAGTGCAAAAGAGAGAGTACATAAGCCCTCAAAAGTACATATTGAAAGATTTGCGATGTTCTCTTGCAGTTGAGGGGACTGTGACAGAAGATCAGACTACTCTTGCTTACTTGAATAACATTTGGGTTGGTAGTGGTTCTCTATCGGGGTTAGATATGACTATCTCTCTGTATGAAATAAAGGTAAACAATAATGTTTAGTCATACCAATAGAAATCTATATAAATTATATTATACCATCATGTTTGGCAATTTGCATTGCCTTGACCTGCAGAATGCAGAAACTAGAAGAGAAAACAAAATTAATGGGATATAATTGTTTATGTAAATTTTGGCTAAGCTGTTCTTACAAAACACAAAAATTTAATGTAGTTGCGTTTTTAGCAACACTATTGAAATACTTGTGTAATCAATATCTAGAAAGCATATTAGAAGCTCATGGTTAAGAATACTCCAGTCACTAATGGCTTTATAAATTTTCTTGATTGTTTGATCCTCAATTTTCATGAAGTTTTTTACTGCTTGCTGATTTTGTAATATTTTGAAGCTCTGGATATTTATAACGTTTTCTCAGAGGCATTTTCACTTTGACATGTTATTTTCTTTCTGATTCTGTTGCACAGATGGTGCTTTCTGCTTTTGAATCTTTCTCCAAGATTTCGAACAGAGAGGGGACTATCAACGTGGAATCTAGGCACTGGTCTCATAACCAAGAAGCAGGAGGAAACTTGAGAGAAATGGTTCCTGATGGTACTTGGTTTCTCTTCTCTTGTGATGCAACAGCTTTCTTTCAGATCTTCAGCTAAGTTGTTCAAGCAACTTCTACAGGAATAATTGTTGCTATCCAAGATGTCGATCAGCACATGTATATTGCTGTTGGAGGAGCAGAAAATGGGCTTGGTGTAGAGGGTGCAATCCATTATTCACTGGCAGGAGAGCGGGCTTTATTCAGAGTATGATGCTTTAACACCTGTCTTGACTCTTTGTAATTATATTTACCTTCTTATATGACTGGAATCTGTATTTTTGTGGTCCAAGTATGAGGTTTTCATTTGAGCCTAGCATGCTCAGATCGTTACAAGCGATCATTTGTATTATGTTGCATTTGCAGGCCCTTGTTATAAGTTTATCTTCTTTGAGCTTAAGCTGGATATATTCTGTTGAATCAAATTCCAACTTTCATGTTTGAAACATTGATTATATTTGAAATGGAGTTCATTTGAATTGATATTAAATTTCTTTATGTAGTTATGTACAGCTTAGGAATAGCAGGTCGTGGCTGCTAGTGTGACGTTTAATAATAATTTACAAACTGAAAGATTCTGATAAAAACTATAGGAGGCTCTCATGTGTTAAGCTTGTAGTTTTGCCTTTTGAACTGCCCAACTTTGGGTTACTCAACTTCCCTGGAGGACAAAGCTAAGTCACGCTTGACTTTGTCGGCTCAAATACTAGTGGTGTATTATTATAATGTGGTGCTAGAGCTTACCATCTGATTACTGACTGCACAATTATAATATGATGTTGGAAGTTTGCTTGCATTGTTGGTTGAATGAGCAAGTCGGTGTCTGGAAATGTTGGGCTTTTCTAATCATCCTTTGTGTAACACATATACGAATGTATTGATGATGCACAGACAACACCGGAAAAATGGAAGTGAATGAATCTGAATCCTTATTAACTTCATTTTCTTTATCATTGACCATACACTAGTTCATCTATTTTTTCCTTGAAACTTCTTATCTGTTTCCTCAACTTGATGCGGAGACTTATATCTCTTAGCTATAACATTTCTATTTGGAACATTGCTGAGAATGAACTAGCACTCATTCTGCCCCTTAATTTGGGTCATAACGAGGGTTTTATAAAGAGCCATAATCACTTCTTCCAATAATCTGTTAGGAAATTTTGATTTTGAGGTGACTATGTTATTCTGTACTTGGCGAAAAGCCTTTGTGTTTATGTTCAATAATTTCCTTTTTGAATATTTGGTCAGGTAAAGTATCATAAACCAAGGAGATGGGAGCCACAAAATCAGTACTTTTCCCTAGTTTCATTGTATGGTAAAGATAACTCTGGTGAACCATTGCAATTGTGTTGCCGCCCAAGGTCAAGATTCGTTGATCTCTCTTCTCCAAGTGATCGTGGGGCTGCACTTTGGAGAATGCTTCCTTTTACACCAGATGCCTATGAAGATGCCATTGAGTTGGAATCTTCTAGTTCTTTATCTAAAAGGACATTTCACCTTGTTAATAAGAAGAACAATTGTGCTATAGCTTTTAATGATGGCATCCTTGAATTCGTAAGCAAGCCAGGAAATCTATTCAAGTGGAAAGTGTTTGATGGCCATGCTCCAGAGGGTGTAAATTTATCACTGAATAGATATTTAATTGAGGGATTTTCTAGTCACACTTTTGGATCTAGGGAACTACAAAGTTCTCAAATGACTGGAACTGGTTCTCAGGATGTTTCAGAGGTCACTGATATGGGAAGGACAGATAAGAAGCTTTCAGGGATCACTATGGTGGTGGACAAGGTTGCACTGACAATTGTTCATGAGCTCTCGGATACTGAGGAGAACTTCCCGCTTCTCCAAGGATCAATTATATTCAATCAAACAATAATACAAATCTCAAAGCTTAAACTCAGGGTTATAAACACATTTGAAGTTGTTCTATCCTACTTTGATGCGCATCAAAACTCATGGTATTTTTTTGCATAAATCTTTGTTTCCTTCTCGTAGTAATTGTTCGTTTTAGCAGAAAAAAAAAATGAATAAAATTTTCAATTTCTATATTATGCTTCTAATTATCAATTTCATGTCTTTCATTTTCTTTTCATCAATTTTTTTTGCCTCAATTGCAGGACGGATTTTATTCAACCTGTTGAAATATGCAGTTTTTACTCGAAGAAGTTTGTTGTTGAGGGAGTCGAAAATTCTATACAGGGAGTGCCAAGTCGTTTCTATGCTAAGCTTAAGGAGGTTTGCCCTTTTCTGTTTAACTCTTTGTTCTTTTAAGCATCATAGTTTATTGTTCTCAAATGTTTATTTGGCACTGCAGGTCTCTGTATCATTGAGTGAGCTTTCATTGGATATCCTGTTACTAGTAATTAGCAAGTTGGACTTGGCTGGCCCTTATGCAGTAAAAAGTTCTGTAGTTCTGGACAATTGCTGCAAGGTTCTTACATTATTTATCATTACTTCTTTTTCTTGCTTTTACCATTACTTCTTTTTCTTTCTTCAATGCAGAACTAAGAGATGCATGTCAACTTTGCCCAGTAAAAATATTATTATGGTCGTCAGGATGAATGCAAAAAATAGGTTTTTGTTACAGTTTTTTATATCTGGAACTTGAAAAATTGACTCAAATTGTTTTTCTTATATTTGGCATTAATAGTTGGACGAAGCTTCAATTACCTTTATATAAGTAACATATGCAATGGTGTAATTCATGGGTCCAGGTTGTTTAATTGTATAGATTTGTTTCAACTTCTTTTAATTTTCCAACTTAATTGAGTAAATACTCACATTGTTATATGTTTGATGTTTTTTGATATACTTAATTGAATCCTCTTACTCAACAAAGTTGATATGATAAAGTTTTTATTTATTGCTATTAAAATATTGGTAAAATTTATAATTGGTTTTTGCAAATAGGTTACAAACCAGTCCGGCATGACGCTTGTTTGCCAATTTTATGATAATCAAGATGCATCAGTATCTGCAAGACAGTTAACTACTGTCCGTTTAAGGTAGTACCAACAGATTCTATTAGTTTGCTTGAACATTTACTCGTTACATCATTGTCTTCCAGTGAAAAATTTGTACTTCTGATCCTTTTAGTCTTTAAACTGCAAATGGATTGGCATGATTAGCTAATGTGTAAACTGTAACTTCATTTTTCCCATCAACGACTCGCCTGAAATGAAGTGGGATGTTTTAAAGGCCTTCTATAGATTTCTTTCTACAGTGTATGTCTTGACAACTTATTATGTATGAGGTTTGGGGTTTTTATGCTTGAGTAGTCAGATAAATTCATCACCTTGATTTGGTGAAAGGTGCCCAGACTTGAGAGGGAAAAACGAAAAAATAGACAGAAGGTCACTGCAGTGTCTGAATTGTACGCTGGGTTTGAAACTCAAAGTGATACAATTGGGCATATAGACGCATAATATACGGGCGGGGTTTCAGTCAAAACCGATATTTAAGGGTATTTCTGCAGTTTGAAGCAATTTTATTGGAAGCAAATGATTAATGTGGAGATAGACCCACCCTGAAAAACAAATGAAGATATTGTGTTTCTGCTATTTTAGTTTCTTCACGAATTAAGTTTTTTAAATTGTATTTATTGTTATATATTTGGATGCATCATTTTCATTTCTCTATAACTTCCATGGATAAAGTTTCTGGTTAAAATTTGATTTGGACTCTTTTCTTGTTCACGTGTTCTAAGGCACCTGGCCTTGGCAAATCAACCACCAGAAGCATCTTTCTTTTCAGTACAGCTTTTCCAGAAAGGTTCCCTTTCAACTTCTCCAATTCATCTCTCACTTTCAGAATCTTGTCAATTCGCTTGGAGAACCCGCATTGTTGGAGGTGTGTACTATCTTAAGTTTTATAAAATCATTTACTAAAATAATAGCTAATGATCCTAATATAGCATAGGGAATTTGTAAATGGCTATCCCAACGACTTTAACTGCTAAGGTTTGCTTTTATCCGTCTAATATTTTTGCATAACCTGTTACAATTTATGTTTTGTAAATTATCGGAAGATGAATTTTCTGAATGTCAGTGGTATCAGTTTGCCAAAATGGTAAAAACAATTTACTCCGGTTTCTTTTTTATGCTTGCTGTGGTGTACTATGGGAAAGTTCTAAAGTGCATACTGAAGGTATTCTGGAATTATCTAACTTTGTCAGTTGGGCTGCTATCAGGATGAAATTAGAACCAACACTTTTATCACTAATAAAAGCATTGAAGTCTATTGCCATACTCTCTTGTATGAAAATGTTTATTAATTTTTGGCCATTGCACTTCAATATTAAATTCTTCCGAATCCCAAAGAATGTCAGTTTTATTGGTGATGGACTTATTTCCATATACTTTCGTTCTAAACTATTTTTGTGTCCTGTTCTTCGTACTATAGCATTCTTAACAGCCATCTCTTACTAATGAGTTCTGGTGTGACCGTGTTGTATCTATGGCAAGCATGGGAGAATAATTTCCAGATTGCAGACTTAGCTGCAAAAACTAGTTCCAAGTGCTTAATCTCTGGAACTTGGAGGACAGCTTTACCAGAGTGATAGACATGTTGCATTTTGATAATTTGTGCTGTGTTTACTCCACATGTAACATTAGAAAATTATTTATGAAGATTAAGTAAGATAACTAGATAAAGATTTTATTTTGAGTATTAAACGATGAATAGAGGACCTGGTGTGTCATGTTCACAATAGTTGGGCGTTATTGCCTACCTTTCCTAGTCTAAGTAATTATCTTCGGACTTTGTTGTCATTGTTGTGGAGGATTGACTTTGAGTTTTATCCTTTGCTGTACTTTGATCAGACTCCAAGTCCTTTCCTGGTCCATTTGTTGCTGTAGAAGTTTCAAAGGGATCTGAGGTACTAATCCATCTCTGGTCTCTGTGATAGATATATTACTACTTGTTGGCATTTATTTACTTTCATTGATATTGCTAGGATGGGCTGTCAATTATCGTCTCTCCTCTATTAAGGATACACAATGAAACTGATTTCTCTTTAGAGCTGCGTTTTCATAGACCTCAACATGAAGAAACTGAATCCGCATCTTTGAGATTGAATGCTGGAGATATTGTGGATGACGCCATGATGGCATTTACTGCTGTTGATTTGTCAGGTGGTTTGAGAAAGGCACTAACATCTTTAAGTGTTGGTGAGTCATATATCTATTTCCGTTTAATTACCATTTATTTAGTATTTAGATGAAGTAAAGGGGAGTTTGATTGGACAACTTGTCTTATAGAATACATGCTACATATAGAAAGAGATAAACCCCCAAAACAAATGAATATAAGCTTTAGTCTCTGGAAATTTTAATAAGTATCGTTTCTGTGTACTAAATACAATTATAATGATGTCTGACAGGTTCAAATTCTGTCTTGCTTTTGATTTTACTGGAAATTTCATTCCACTTGAAGTTATGTATTTTCCCTTAACCATTAAATTATTGTTGTGCTATATATATTCACTGCTTACAATGCTACAATTTTAGTTTAGAAGTCATGATAACTTTGTCTGGATTGATTGGTGATGGTTTGCATGTCAATCTGGATTGGAGTTTCTTTTATTTATTTATTTGTTTTTTGTGTGCTGCTTTTACTTTGCATGATAGATATCCCTTTTCCTACTAGTGTTATTTCCCTGATATTTATTAAGCTAAAACAAATTTTGTAGGGAACTATGTTTTCTCGTTCAGACCCGACCTTTCAGATGGTATGAAGAATTTTGAGGAGTCATCAGTAGGGTGGTCAGATGATCTTAAAGGTGGGAAGCCTGTTCGCCTGTCAGGGTTATTTGACAAATTAAGTTTCCAGGTGCGGAAGGTATTGTCCATTAACACGGTGAAATCTACTCTGAACAGTGCAAGTTGTGCTGTCAGATCTAAAGAAGGTTATGATGCTAGTATGTATTTCCTGATAAAAACTATTGGGAAGGCTATGCCTGTTGTAAATCCAGATAATTTTGGATATGTCCCTGGGAATAAAAACTCCCCAGTTGCAATGCAAGAGCAGAAGGAAATTTTTGTTCTGCCCACGGTTCAAGTTTCGAATTTATTGCACACTGAGATTCATGTCAGTCTAACAGATAGAGGTATCTATTAAGAAATGTGTATTGAGTTTCCTTTGTTTAATTTTGTTTGTAGTATAGTTGTGAACAAAATTTCACTTCATTGCAGATCCACAAGGCACCAATGGCACCAATGGCAATCGAAATGCATGGAATCAAGCTACCATTTCTTGTGGAGCTGCTGCAAACTTCTATGCAAACCCCACTACAATTTATTTTGTGGTCACTTTAACATCTTTTGGCTTGAGCTGTAAACCAGTCAACAGTAGTGATTGGGTAAGGAAATTACAAAAGCAAAAAGATGATGTTTCTCATTTGGACATTGAGTTGGAGTTTGGTGGTGGGAAGTGCTTCACTATGCTAAGATTGTCTCTTGGGCACAGTGGCACATTACAGGTACTAATCCTTCAAAATTAGTATTTGCTCTTTCCAAGTTAAAATCCAGCGGGATTTTTTCGTTTCTTTCCAGGCTGGCGTCTTTACTTCATATGCGTTGCAAAATAATACAAATGTGCAAATGTTTTGCTGTTCTGCCAACCAGAAGACATTATCTAGGTATCATACGTTCTTGGTCATAATTATTTAGATATCTTGTTTGGTCGATTTCACCCTTAAGAGAAGTTTTTCGCCAGGGTTGACATGGAAAGATTTGGTCCAGATACTCCTCCAGAGTCGGGTTCATGCTTGCCTCCTAATTCCATCACATCATGGTTCTTGAAGTAAGTGCTAATATTCTTTCTATTCACTTACCATATTGTGAAGTAAGAGAGATGAAGTTGCAACACCTGTTGGTTTAATAATAATACTCATTTATATGCTGTTGCAGTAAAAGCTGGCCATTAATTACAGAATTTCAAATTTTGGAGGAATGTGCTCTGCGCTCTGCTTTTAGTTCCCTTGCTAGAAATCAGTTTTAGTTCCCAATAAGTTAAGATGCTAAGAAAGAGCATCATATTATCTTTTGAATGATTCTTTTGTGCCTTACTATTTTCTTCTGAGCACAATTTATGCACTCTAAATTTAGCAGAATATACTGTAATATCAATAGTTATGTGGGTAGGGTGGGTTCATAGGGAGTTCGCTTCATTAGAAACAACAATTCCTAAAATCCATATAGTATTAGCCTGCATCATGGGTAATAAAATGGAGTGCATTGCCATAACATTTCACATATTCTGTAAGCAAGTGGATGCTGGTATTTTTGCTGGGAGCTTTTTCATAAAATCTGACATACAATCTTCTGTAAAAATATCAACTAGTAGTTCTGACTAAGGTCCTAATGAAATAATGTTTATGATCCGACAGCTTCTGTTCATAATGAATATCTGTTAAGTAACCTATAGTTATGCATGGGGCTTATATGTGATATCCCTCCTTCCCAATGCTAGAAGCCACAAATTGCGCTTGAGATTGTGGGACGAGAAAGCAGTGGAGACGCAGTTGGACTTGGATGTATTATCAGGCCTTACCGAGATAGACCTTGAAACCGAAGAATTGTTTGGATTAAAAACTGTGACAAGGCTGGGGGTATCTTTAAAGGCATTGCATACCAAAGAAATCTCATCTCAGATAGTATCTTTCAGCCCACGGTATGTTGTATGCAATCAATCAGAAGATGCAATTGCTATCCGGCAATCTAATATGGAGGTCTCCCCTATCTGCCATACTTCTTTTCACATGATGTGTTATTCTGTATTGTGCTCAATATTTTAGTTTCTTATTGTAGGACACGGAAGAACTGATAACTATCAACAGCAAGCAAAGGATAGCTTTAAAGCTGTATTCAGTATCAAGATACAAGAAAGAGACCAACATTGTTGAACATATTCTAAGAAAGCATACAAACCCCCAAAGTGATTTAACATTCTTTATCCAGTTCCGACCTAATGAGACCGGGTTTGGTTGGTCAGGGCCTGTATGTGTGGCTTCATTGGGACGTTTTTTCTTGAAATTCCAGAAATCCTTCGAATTTACTGGAAATCAATCGGTTAGTGTGTCATACAAAGACACCTTAAGTGGTTTTGCATCCGTTCATGTGGTGGAAGAAGGGTCTACCATTGTCCTTCACTTCCACAGGCCACCACTTACAAATCCTCCTTATAGGATAGAGAACTTTTTACATGATTCTCCTGTAACTTATTATCAGAAGGTTGATGCATGTTTCTCTTACTTTCATCTACAGTTTAATACTATTATGCGTAATGCACTTAATGTGTCTTATATAATCAGCATCATTTATCATTTTCTAGGGTTCGTCAGAACCAGAGACTTTGGGAGCTGGAGTAACTGCTAACTATGTCTGGGATGACCTGACTCTTCCACATAAGCTAGTTGTCCAACTTGATGGTAATTTTCATGTTTTCTACATTTCTTTTTACTCTTTAATAAACTGAACATATATTTATGCTCTACTTTTGGACTCCATATGCTCATATTAATCCTAGGGTTTGCAGTTCGCAGTTGTTACTAGGGAAGACAGATGAGTATGATATGTCTAGAAACTGATGTTATTTCAAAAATTTTGGTGCAAGAAAAATTAATTCTGGAATCAAGGGACACCCTTCAATTATGGCAATCGCAGACCCTTTCACAATCGTACATATATTCTTATATATATCAGTCTTAGTTATCACACCAGGAAATAGTTCACAGCAGGACACCAAAGTTTAATATGGTCATTTGCTAAATTGATAATTCAATTACATTGACTTTTTTAGAAAAGGATCTTGAATTGGGATTGATAAATGGGCTTGGGTAGAACTCATCCCCACTAGCTACTAACTCGCCCAACCCACACTTATACCTACGTCCAAACTAATCGATGTGTGACAAACATAACTTTTAATACCTTCCATCACACGTAGCGTGCCAAACAAAGTGAGTTGGGTCCAAATCCAACATCACTTCAAGCAGACAAGCCTGGGTGCTCTGATACCATGATAAATGGGCTTGTGTAGAAAACAATTAAGCTATTTTAGAGGGAAAATAAAAGCAAAAAGTTAAAATTAGTCTTGACCATGACATGCCAAAACTTCTTTTACCAAGTACTCCTTGATGTGATCCAAATGTTAAGAGTTGCGAGCTAATGTGGTTCCTTGTTGGCAGATGTGCATATGTTGCGTGAAATCAACTTAGATAAGGTGCGGGCTTGGAAACCATTTTATCGCAGCAAGCAGACTAGAGGATTGGGATTTCATTTACCCCTGGATAAGAAGGCTGAAGATCAGAATCGTATTTCTTACGGCCGGTTAATTGGCTCGGAGACTGTAAAGGTGGGTTATGAAGTATATGCAGAAGGTGTAACTCGAGTTTTGAGGATTTGTGAGTTCGCTGATAGTCATAAGGTGAATTTGCTGCCTGGATCTGGTAGAAAGCTGCGGCTGAGAATCTCTTACTTCTCAGTCCACTTGCTAGAGCATGCCCAGCAGGTAATTTTTCATGTATAATAATGTCTTGCAACATCATGCTTTTGACCAACTGCTCATATTTCTAGCTTATAAGAATCTTCTATATTAACTATCCACCTAATTGCCAATCCTTTTAAGAAATATTAACCCCTCGCATTTTTAAGATCCCTATTGTCTAGATTGGTAAAGCCTTCTGTGATAGAGTATTTCTAGCACTTGTACAAATTCCTCAGTAGAAAATGGAAGTAGGCAAAGTTAATTGTTGGATCAGACTTACTACTGTCTGGATACAACTCTTGATTTTTGAGCACGAGTTTAGTTTTGGTTTAAAATTATATATGCTGCAGGAGATAGAACCAGAGGAGGCCTATAAGTATGCACCAATAATTATTACAAGGATTGAAAGATTTAGCTGGGATGCTATTTTCAACAATCAGCATAAATATAACCAGATCCGAGTGCAGGTGCGTGCGCATTTGCTCTTATTATTGCCGTTGATCTATGTTTGCTCCCATTATATCTTGTTACAACTACTGGAAAGTGATGCAACACGTATCTCCTGCTTATATGTCTTCCTGAGCGGTATGCTTTGGCTACTAAATGCAGTCATTGAGTGTTGATGAGAAGTGGGTTGGAGCTCCTTTTGCAGCAATGCTTCGCCGGCACCAATCAGAAAAGTCTGATGCAAATGATTGCATTCTCCATGTTGCAGTTATTTTGCTTCCAACTAGTTCTTCTGTGAAACATGTGAAATACCTTTCCATTGTTCTGCAGGTACTAAAGAATGTCGTGCAGGATTGTTTATAAACGAAAAAGTTAAAAATAAAAACTGTTTGTCATCAAAATTAGATATGTTTCCTTGACTTGTAGTTTTATCTTACAAATCGTATCGTTAGGGTAGTGTTCATAACTTAATTTGTTGCTGAATCCTTTTGTAATTAGGCTAAAGTTTAGGTGGTTTTGCAACTATCCCTACTGTATGAGTGAAGTTTCTTGCATTTTATCTGTGTTTCAGTAGTTGCTTCCACGAGAAACTTCACGGTTGTCAATTGTTTGTTTGAGCAAAATAATCCAACCTTGTGCTGAAAAAATGTTTTCAATCTGTCATATTTGCAGCCTCTTGACTTGAACCTTGATGAGGAGACATTAATGAAAATAGTCCCATTTTGGAGATCTTCTAGTGCTTCCAATGCTCCCCGTCAACAGTACTACTTTGATCATTTTGAGATCCACCCGATAAAGGTCTTGTTGTCATACTCAGTTGCATTTAACAGAGTTCCAACCATCCGAGCTAATTTATACTTTCTACCTCTCTTTCTGACAATATTTGGCTTTAGTTGTGGCCCATAATTGAGTTTTTCTTTTCTGTGATTTTTTAGATTGTGGCAAGTTTCCTTCCTGGGGATTTGCGTTACAGCTATAGTTCAACGCAAGAGACTCTAAGGTCTTTGCTCCATAGTGTGATTAAGGTATGAGATTGATCGCCTTTGTGGAATATTTCTTTTCTCGAGCTAAGAATTGGTATATCAATTTGATTTGTTATCATAATTCTTACAGATACCTGTCATCAAGGCAAAGACAGTCGAGCTCAACGGGGTCCTTGTAACGCATGCTTTGATAACATTACGTGACTTGAGTATAAAATGCGCACAACATTACTCCTGGTATAATTGTTGCAGCTTTATTTTGTTCTTTTTCTCTTCCCTGTTTCAGTTTAGCCATACGCCTAAATTTACTTTTTGAGTGCAGGTATGCAATGAGAGCAATCTATATTGCAAAAGGAAGCCCATTGCTTCCTCCAGCCTTTGCTTCTATATTTGACGATCTAGCTTCGTCCTCCCTTGATGTCTTTTTTGATCCTTCAAGTGGCTTGCACAGTCTTCCTGGCGTGACCTTAGGTATCTCTTTTCTCCTCAATATGCTTGCAAAGGTAGAAATGATCATAGCAGAATAGAACCTAAAATTTGTCTCCACGTAGATGTTATTATTAAAAGTGCTAAGTTGATTTTACTGTTATGTGGCTGTTTGCCTGATTTGAAGATCATTGTGTTTGATATGTATGCAGTCTTCCTGCTTTTTTGGTCTTCGTATGAGACAGTTTACAACAGAAAAATGATTTACGTGCATTCTTAATTATTAATTTGAAACTGTTTTGTAGTAATACTGAAATGTGATTCCGGTTATGCTTTAATTTCATGATTTAGGAACGCTCAAGCTCATCAGTAAATTGATAGATAATAAAGGTTTTACTGGAACAAAGCGCTACTTTGGCGATCTGGGAAAAACGGTTGGTGTTTACCCTTCTTTCTATATTTTTAAAAACTAGTTAACATTATCTTGATTTGATTTGTAATTGCATAAAAATTCAAATGTGTTTTGTTTGCAGTTGAAAAAAGCAGGGTCAAATATACTCTTTGCTGCAGTAACTGAAGTATCAGACTCTGTTCTCAAGGGAGCAGAAACAAATGGATTTAATGGAATGGTCAGTTTTTATTTACGTATTATTATTTTCTAAATAATAATTATGGATCTTCCAGTTGTTGACTTTTGGAGCACATAATTTTTTAGGTGAGTGGTTTTCACCAAGGAATTCTTAAGTTAGCTATGGAACCATCTGTCATAAGTACTGCTTTCATGGAAGGTGGCCCAGATCGGAAAATCAAACTCGACAGAAGTCCTGGGGTTGATGAGGTAACTCAAGAGTCGAGCATTGGATTTTCAGAGTTTTTAAAGTTTTACCGAAAAAAAAGGCGAGAAATCCCAGTCTTTCAAATTACACTGAGAAGCTAAAGATGTGGATCATAGGCACTGAGAAGCATCCACTCTTTCTTCCTACTATTTTCTCCATCAAAATACATTTTGTTTAACGCCAATTATGAGTGCTAAAAAACTCTCAATCTTTATATGCTGAACAATGCAGCTATACATTGAGGGCTATCTGCAAGCAATGTTGGACACCATGTATAAACAAGAATATCTGAGGGTGAGAGTCGTTGAAAACCAGGTAACCTCTCATTTATAGTCGAGTCACATTAACACATCGATCTCAGACTTCACTTTCCATTATCTATGTTACCTCTATGCCTATATACTCCAATATTTTTGGCCCACTTTTTATTCCAACCTTCACTTTTGTGTAGGTGATCCTCAAAAACCTTCCTCCGAGTAGTTCTCTTATAAATGAAATTATGGAGAACGTAAAGGCCTTTCTCGCAAGCAAGTCATTGTTGAAGGGGGAATCTTCTTCATCTCATTCCCTACGACACATACGAGGAGAAAGAGTGAGTGCAGTCCTTCCAATCTTTTATTATTTATTTATTTTTTATTTTATTTTATTTTTATTTTTTTTGTGGATGAGTGCATAATTAGGCTAAACCACAGGTAGTTTTGTAATCCTTAAAAAAAAAGTACTAATCATGCGGACTGTCGACTAAATTACTACCAAATTATTTTCGACCAGGAATGGAAACTCGGGCCAACTATATTAACATTGTGTGAGCACCTGTTTGTGAGTTTTATGATTCGTGTGCTTCGGAAGCAGTCTGGCAAGGTTATCGGTAGAATCAAGTGGAGGGAAAAGGCAAAGGAGGAAGTTGAAGACAAGGCACTTGTTCCCACTGCAAGTGGTGAGGAGGAACAACAGAAGGTGAAGCTCGTGTGGCGATGGGGAATCGGTAAGTTTTTCTTGTCGGGTATAGTTGCCTACATTGATGGCCGGTTATGTCGAAATATTCCAAACCCCTTGGCGAGGAGAATTGTGAGTGGTTTTTTGTTGAGCTTTTTGGACCAAGGTGATGATGATGAAACAAAGTAAATGCATAGTGCATTGGGAAAGATGAAAATTGTTTTGTGTAGATGATATAGATATTGTGAATTTACTATTTTTCGTCATCTGTAATTACGAATTGAAGGAAACATTTGCTAAATCTGAAAGACGACACTTTATAGCTTAACATATTTGTTCTTGGAGAACTGTATGTGTCAGTAAACTGTAATGTGTAAACTTTAGACATGATGAAATTATATATTCAGTTCAGTCGAACGGTGAAAAATCACACGGGTATGTTTTGATCTAACGATAAATATTCCGGTGACTATAATTATCGGTTTTTTTATATATATTTATGCGCACGCAAAATATTATAAGGATACGTGCGAAGCTAATAGAAAAAATTAGGAAATAGTAAATCGTTGAAAGAGTTGGTACGGTGGTCTTGGATATAGACCTTATGAAACTGGTAGCCAGCCCACTGATTATTTAGGATAAATAAATTTGTTTTCATCATGAATGTATTTCTTGTGTTGTTTTCTTCATGAATGTATTTCGTGTGGTCCCTTTGTTTTATTATTTAGTT